GGGGGGTTAGAGACACACCAACACTATTCAACATACACACTCTGTTACGTTAAGTCAGGAGTCTGGACATTGGATGTGACCGGATCTTAGATGCGGGAGGTGGAAGGTCCTCCTCTACGCCAGTTTAGGGCCAATAGAAATATTTCCTTCTCTGTCTTTTCGGGTTATAAAACATGATGTTCTTGCTGATGTTAGTTAGTTGTTCTTCTGGCCTGTGTGCTGCCTGAACTGCTCCTGCCTTTGCAAACGCAGCGCTGATACTTGACCTGTGATCTGACAAATACATTTTCCAGAACGAGAGAAGTCATTCGGCTGAATTTTTGATAACCCCGACCAGGCTCCAAATCTTGAACACGTATTCTTACAACATCATTAATGATGACCGTTCATCACATTTCATCATAAGATCTAAGACAGTTCATGTGGTTCAATTCTCAAGACATTTGCCTCAGTCGGCTGCCTTACATTAAGTTGTTCATTTACTACCTGACAGGAGAAAAAACTCCCAAAAAACCCTCTTTGGGGATAAAATTGGGAGAAATCCATAAAGGACGGCAATTAGCATCGTCCCCAGGTTTTAACATCACATTGTGACAGAATGTTAATGTGTACAGTGTTTATATGATTTAAATGACTATACATTGTGTTTGATTCAAATTGCATACACTTCATCTAACATGTTAATGTAATAACTAATATCTAACATCACAAACTACAATTCTAACACTAAACATTATTACACGTATTATAATTTCCACCACCAGGGGTGCACTTCTGGCTTAAATCCCTAACACTTGCCTGACAACATGACAGAGTGATGTCAGTGTCCTAAATTGAAGGGCTTCCACTGAATCCCCAGATTCAAACCACATCATGACACCTCCACATGGAGAATCTGCTTTGAACAGGTCCAGCAAAAAAAACAACAGTTAATGGCACGGTTGCATGTCTGATCAAATTATTTTAATCGACCATGTACTAAAGCATCAAAGGCCCTCGTTGAGTTGTTTGTAAGGTTAGAATAGTTTGTATTCTCTTCTGTTCTTTTCTGTTGCTATGTTTACTAATGAGTCAGATTATTAAGATACAATTATTTACCATCGGCATGCCCATTTTCTGTATTTTTAGGTGTTTGCTGTAAAAAAAAAAATATATTCAAGATTGTTGTAATATTAGTCTAAATAAGCGTACAGCAAAGGTTGTTTTAATAGTAACTGCTACTAAAACTGACTAGTGCGTAAGTGAATAAGAATTGTTAAACAGCATCCACTGTGGAGTTTTTATAATTGTCCATGGACAGGATATTGAAAATTCTATATTAATGTAGTCGCAAAAATTAGCAAACCAGTCAACGCAGCGATTTCCCAATATCTGACATGATTTAAAGATTTATATATGGCGTTGAATTGACACAGTATGCTATATCATACTATAGAGTAATTCCATAAAACCCCTCTTGATTTACCACATGTTTTATATTAATTTACACATGGCAATAAATCTTCACCTGGAACCTCATTTCGCCAGTTCTAAAGAGGGTCGGGACATGGTGGCTCCGGTCGGTGTACTTTACTATGGATGCATAAGATTGAGGTGAGAGAGATAAAGACAGCAGGAGGAAATGTCATACATTCAGTGTGCAAACTGACCTTTCCATGCTCATGCCCCCTATAACAGCATTAACACAGAAGCTACCATGGCCATCAATTATCTTACCAACCCAGCTGTAACACCTTAACTAACAGCTATGTCCCCTTTGCCCTTCCCTCACCCCTCCATCATGCTTTCCTCCCATTCTTTATTCCTTCTATCCAGTCGTCAATCTAAATTCACATGTTTAATTACCTGTAATTGGCACATTTTACCTAGAATGTTATCTCTCAAAACAAGTGTTAGTGAGTTTTTTTTTTCATCCATGTTTTTATCTGTCTCAAAGAAATTCTTTGATGCATCAAAGAAACTATGAGAGATTCGTTTTCAGATATTCTCTTTGTTGCGCACACAATGTTATTGCTCCCCAAAAAACGCTATATTGTTCTTCAACTTAAAGCCAAAACCCTTGATTTCACAAACAACATTTGCCTGCAAAAGGTAGTTGTTATATACTTACTATATAAGAATGGTTTTGAATGTAGCGTCAGTCTCTGGAATCCTATAAATGTTCATTATTGTGTGTATATTAGAGAAACTATGAAATAATTTATTTCAAATAATCAGAATTATCTTGGAAAAGAGACAAGCGCCAACCCTTTTGCAATATTAAAATCAATGTCTGCAATGGTCATTAATCTAACTTTTACATAATAAAATAAAAACGTATACTGGGCTTGATTAATGTCTCCCAATCAATTTGATCAGCTGAAGGTTGAAATAGAAAAATGATAATATTCTTCCTGCATCCATGTTGCAAACTGGTAAGAGATTCATATTTTTCTAACCGGTGAGATGAATGGAGCAGGATTGTTTTTAGGTAAAATGCAAAGAGAAAAGTTAACATTCCCACTACTTTACTACTTTATTTATATGTACAAAGAAGAGAATGCTGAGCATTATCATTTATTCAGTAAGTACAGGGGATTACTGACCGTTGTCTACTTCTACAACTGGACTTTGCATCCATTTCAATTGGTTTCAGTTACACTTCATCTTCTTTCAGGTCTTATGTGGACATGGCACATGCATTTTTCCATACCATCTTTGGGGGAATAAAACATTGATTTCATGAATTGGAATTGAAATGTGAATTAACGGTGGCACGTTTTTATTGTCAGTGTTTTATTGTCAGTCAATTTTTTCTTTCAATGAACCACAACGCTAATAGCAAACATATTTGACTGGAGAGAGAAGGGGGGGAGGAGAAAAGGGACAGGATGTTATCATTAATGAAAGGCAGAAAGGGAGACTCCTTCTCCTGCATTCAAATGATGTTTAATCCACACAATCAACACTCCCACTCCTCAACCTTCTCTGTCTCTGCCCGTCTGAGCTGTTTCATCGAGGAAGCTACTGTGCAACGTGTTCCATCTCATCCGTCTTTCTCATCCCTCCCCTCTATCCCTATTCATCTTGTTACGTCCGGCTGCTCTATTAGTGTTTTCTCCTCCCCGATGTCTTTGTTTCCAGTCTGTTCTTCACAGGTGTGGTGAGTTGCTGCTGACGATGCAGGCGTGGCCAGCTGTTCCTCCAGCCAATCCAGCTCTCAGCTCTGCTCCTTTAAAAATGTTTGTTTGTGAGAGCTTGGAGAGGGGGGGCTTGTGTTTTGGGAAAGATTGACATTGACATTGAATGAGACAGTGGATGAATATATGGTTTATGTTGTTTGTTAAACTGTGGTCTATTGTACACCCAGGTCTGTGTTTATGTACTTACCCCAAGAGCACTGTGGAGCAGGGCTAGGTAAGATACCCTGGGGTCTACATACACCTGTAGGGAAAACCTCTGTTAGATACACTGGATTAGAAGCCAGCGGCTGTCACCCTGTGTATTGTAGCAGTGAGGTAAGTGGTGTGATAGGTTAGATTGTGGTAGGTAGGTTTAGAGGGTTAGGGAAGCTCAGGGTCCTTCGTTTTGTTTCTTTGCTTTGACAGACCGTTGGCACCGCCCTACTCCACAGGCCTTGTTACCTGTTCGTCCTCCTATCCCGTGTCTTTGTACTTGTGTGTAATTGTTTGTTGAAATGTTTGTATTGTTATTGTAGGGAAAATAAACCCACCATAGCCATCCATTGTAGTAGTGTCCTTTACTTATTGTGGTAGCAAGCTGGGGCCTTTGCACACGGGTTCAGAATCATCCAGAGGGCGTGGTCTTGGGCAGTTACGCCTTCCTCCTCTCCTGAGCCGGGGTGGAGGCGTAACAATCTTGTTCCTGTCTTCCTTCTATAGGCTCCTTTCCCCCTATTTCACCGAGCATGTGGATGTATCTCCTCCAAGCCAGCCCCATCTCTCTCTCTCTCCCCCCACTCTCTCTGCGAGTCTCTTTTCCTCCATCTCCTCTGTCTCTCCAGGAGATAACTATGTGCGAGCTCTTTCATCTCCATCCTCCCTAAAGAGAAGACTGCCCAGCAGACACGGAGGAGCAGAGTCAGCATTTCAGTCCTCACTGATGTCACAAACCCCTCCCACCCCTCTCCCAAAACACTCACAATAAATCCTCTGCACTAAAACAACCGAAACATCTGGTTAAACCCTAAAATGCCATATTTTGGTCATTCCTAGTAATAATGTGTGAGGGGGGGAACACTCGCCAGACCTGCGCCTTTTACAAGTGAGCACATCTTCACCGGAGGAAACTGGCGCACTGCTGCGCTCGCGAGACGGAGAGACGGATCACCAAAACCACTCCGGAGTTGGAGCAGAAAGTCTGACCTCTCATCTCTGCACGATACACTAGGAATTGCAGGGTTTCCATTTTCGTTCTAACAATAGGTTGGACTAGAAAAACTAGACAGAGAGCAAGAGTGTGAGAGAAGACGATAGTCACAGTGAAGGGGGGGCGAGGGGGGGTTGAACGTGTTAATACAGAAGAACACTGCATCAAACCAATGCACTGCTCTCTGAGGCTGGCTGAGCAGCTGAGAGGAGTGCGTCAGCAGTACATTGACGTTCCCGCTGAAGGACAAAGGGAGGGGGGCAGAGCGAGCGTCTTAGCCTCAGCTTGCAACACTAACACAGAGAGATGGAGGGGGGGGGGGGGGGGGTAGAATAGAGAAAAGAGAGAGATTGAAGATTAAACAAGAAGGGGAGATGTGGATTAGAATGCTGCTCCTGCTGCTTGTGAGACGGCGGGCTGCCTGAGCACGTCCTCCTCTTCATCTTTCTCTCTCACCCCCCCACACACACACACGCACACAAACACACACACACACACACACACACACACACACAAACACACACACACACACACACACACAAACACACACACACACACACACAAACACACACACACACACACAAACACACACACACACACACACACACACACACACACACACACACACACACACACACACACTCTATCTCTTGATCTGTCAGAGGTTCTCTCTCACTCTTTCTCTCTCGCTCTCTGCTTCACTCTGGCTACTGCAGTAGGTCTGCCGGTCATGCATATGGCTAACTGCCTCAATTTACTACCTCAACCATGGGAGAAAAAAAACAACTGATGAATAAGCAGCCGGAGGACCACTGCGGGAGACAGTGCACGTGACAAGCGTTGCGCGGAGGAAACCTTGTAAGAACACCTTTCTCTGTTTTTTTGGATACAGACACGAAGCGCACTTTCACACACACACACAGACGTCCTCCCAGCGTCGTTGCTTTCTGTATTTTTGTTCATTGCAGAAGAGGACACGAGTGCTCTCTCTCTCACTCTCTTCCGACAGCCTTTTGCAAAGCTCCAACAGTGCAGCGCATCTCCTTCTCCAACCCCCTCACCCAGCGCCACCATCTCTGCCACTAGCCCCCCCCACCCCCCCTCCTCACCCCAGGAGGAATAGATGGATTACTGCTAACTGTGCACATGGCAGCCTGCAGCTGCTCTGACCAGGGCCAGTCCAACGTTTGGAGGAAGAAAAAGGAGACCGAGGAGGAGAGAAGAGGGGGAGGATGACTGTACCGGGAGTCCTTTTAGCCTTTTTCTGTCTCTCAGTCTCTGTCACAATGGGGCTAATCACCGACTGACTTGCCCCTGGCAAAGTCACAGTGAGGCAGCTCTCCACCGAGCAGGCAACCAGTCGACAAGCCAGCACATGTATCAGGAGCCAACCGGACTTGGGATTTTTATTTATTTCCGTCAGTCACTTCTCTTCTCTTTACTGCGTTATGGATCGTTGTGATTTATCCAACGTGGAGCTGCATGTCGGAGTCCGTAGCAGTACGGAGCCGTAGAGGGGGCAGAAGCGATCCCGGCACCCGCCAAGCATTCATGGCCTTACCTCTGCTTGTGAGTGCTTTTCATGCTGCTTTCCCTCTTTAATACTAGGAGCCATTTTGTACCCTTGGCTAATAAAGGTCCACCTCACTTTTTTAGAGGGGAGAAGCTAAAAAAAAAACTTCAATCTGATGCCTCTCCATGGAAGACGATGAATAACTGTTGCTTTTAAAATCTGGACAAGATGCCAAAAGGACTACTTCCAAACTAATGAGGTACGTCACTAATAATGTCGTTCAACCTTTTTCTTACATTGCTGCACTGCTTTTCTTCTGCTACGTCTCTTGTATTAATCTCTCTTCCTCTCTGTCCCTCTTTTTTTCCCTTCTCTCTCTCTCTCACACACACACACACACACACACATACCAATTTTGATGTAGCATCTCCGTTCACCATCGATGGAACTTGGGAGCCTTGAGCTGCTCCAGCCCGGCTAGGGTGGTCTGTCCTCTGGTGTGTGCCGCCTCCCCCCACCATGCAGAATAATGAGCCCTCCACACCATGAGTCCTCTGGGCCAGGTTAGTGTGCAGCCTACCTGGAACGCAGCCCTGCTCGCCGTGCTCTCCTTTATGGTGCCTGCTCTCAGTATGGGCCAGTCCACGGGCCCTGCGGTGGGCTCGGCTAATCCACAGAACTGCCCAGGTGTGTGCTCGTGCACTAACCAGCTGAGCAAGGTAGTGTGTACCCGCCGAGGCCTGGTTAGGGTTCCACCCAACATCCCAGCCAATACCAGGTACCTAAACCTGATGGAAAACAGCATTGAAACTATACAAGCAGACACCTTCAGGCACCTGCATCACCTGGAGGTGCTGCAGTTGGGCAGGAATGCTATCCGACAGATTGAGGTGGGTGCCTTCAATGGCTTGACCAGCCTCAATACCCTGGAGCTGTTTGACAACAGACTCACTGTCATACCCAGTGGAGCTTTTGAGTACCTCTCAAAGTTGAGAGAGTTGTGGCTAAGAAACAATCCCATTGAGAGCATCCCCTCTTATGCATTCAACCGTGTCCCTTCCCTCATGAGACTGGACTTGGGACAACTGAAGAAGTTGGAGTATATCTCGGATGGGGCATTTGAGGGACTTCAAAACCTCAAGTATCTTAACTTGGGGATGTGCAACCTGAGGGAATTTCCTAATCTTTTACCACTGGCGGGACTGGAGGAGCTAGAAATATCAGAGAATGTTTTCCCCGAACTGAAGCCCGGGGCCTTCCGTGGTCTTAAAAATCTACGTAAACTGTGGATTATGAACTCGGCTATCACTACCATTGAGAGGAATGCATTTGATGACATCACCGCCTTGGTGGAGCTGAATTTAGCCCATAATAATCTGTCATCCCTTCCCCATAACCTCTTCACTCCTCTTCAGTATCTGGTGGAGCTCCACCTACACCACAACCCTTGGCGATGTGATTGTGATGTGGTGTGGCTCTCCTGGTGGCTCAGAGAATACATTCCCACAAATTCCACATGCTGCGGACGCTGCCACACCCCGGTCAACATGAGAGGACGATATTTGGTGGAAGTTGATCAGATCACCTTTCAATGTTCAGCACCGTTCATACTTGATGCCCCCAGAGATCTGAACATCTCCGCAGCGAGGGTGGCAGAACTAAAGTGTTGTACAGCCGCGATGAGCTCAGTCCGATGGCTTCTACCCAATGGCACTGTATTGACCCACGGCTCGGCCCACCCAAGGATATCTGTCCTTAATGATGGAACACTGAACTTCTCCAACGTTCTGCCATCAGACACAGGAATCTACACCTGCATGGTCAGCAACATGGCGGGGAATTCCAATGCCTCGGCCTACCTAAACGTAAGCAATGCTGAACTCAACACGTCTAATCTGTCCTATTTTACCACCGTGACAGTGGAGGTTTTGGAGCCGATGGTGGAGGAGACCCCTAAATCCAAGCCTACCATCCCTGCCTCGCCATCTGTCTTTCAGCCTGTCTTCATCTCCACACCCACTGTGATGTTCCAAAACCCTCAGACTCCCAAGCAGGTGTCAATCCCCACTGCCAGAGTCCCAAGTGGGCCAGCCGCCAGCCTGGATGAGGTGATGAAAACCACTAAAATCATCATTGGCTGTTTTGTCGCTGTTACCTTGCTGGCTGCGGCGATGTTGATAGCATTCTATAAACTGCGTAAGCGGCATCAACAGAGGAGCACTGTGGCGGCAGCCAGGACCATAGAAATCATACAGCTAGAGGAAGAAGTTCCTCCTCTTCGCCCAACCACGTCTGGATCTAGTGGCTCTGATGACACACTGTTGGTACTGCCTACTTTGGTGGAACACAACAGAAACACCTTTAAGCCTGGGTACGTGTCCTCTACATCATCCCGCCAAGGGAACTATGGAGCCCAATGGACCCAGAACAACTCTCTTCATCGCTCAGTCAGACAGCATCACAGCCGCATCAGCACCATTGCTGATCCCTACATCATTAAGACTACTCATGGCAAGGAGAAGGTTCAAGAGACCCAAATCTGAGCATTGCTCCCTTTGGATTTATCTCTGACTCAGCCCCGGCCTCTCCTCTCCACCTCTCTGCTCATCAGTCCATGCAATATAAATCCACAAAGAACAAAACGGTAACTTTCTTTTGTACAGAAGTGCAAAACAGAGAGAGATGTTTGTTTCTTGTACATGCCTATACATACGTATATATACAGAAAAGAACTGCAAATATATATATATATATATATATATATATATATATATATATATATATATATATATATATATATATATATATATATAAATTAGATTTTGGCCAGGCAGTGGTGAAACAGAGAATATATCCAAAAAGAAAGTCATTTGAAATATTTTCTAATAACTGGTGACTTCTATTTAAAAAAAAAAGACAAATATACTGAGTTGCTTTTGTGATTCATGATACACGGTGGTTCGGTCTGCTGTAGGAAAAGAGGCATTCAGTCTGTTTTTTGACCATATTTAGAAAGCAGTTAAACACTCTTTATACAGGTACCAGTTTCTAAATACAGCCCCAAATGTAAGCTCCAGTTTTTACTGTGCCAAATATTATAATATATGCAATACATTTCCAGACTTAGGTACACAAAAAGACACAACCGCAAAATCTAGATGGATAGAGACATTTGTCCAAGGATAGCAGCGTAATGGCATCGATAGAATGTGCTGTTCAGTAGCTATCAGCCAAATGCTTTTGGACTGCAGTGAATTTCGGCAGCTTAGGTTTAACCCTCTGTTTGCTGGAGCTGAGCTGCATTCATTCTACAGTGCCAGGGCTTCTTAGTTGTAGTGTATCTAAAGATGTTTATTTAGTGTACACATGATTCCTCACTGGTTTAACTGGTCAAGAGCAGGTTGATGACAGTTGTTGCAAATACTTTGTTCAGTTGTTGGTTGCATTTTCATTTAACTTTTTCATTGTTTATTTTTGACATGCTTCTTAATGGCTTGCGTAGAGTTTAGGGCTAATTTAATAATGCATTAAAGCAGTTGCCTGACTTGTCTCTGCAAGGGCTCATTGCGATGCTCATTTTTTCAATGGAACAAACATGTGAAACAGAGCTTTGCTGACCATTCTGCTTTCAGAGAAAGAAAACAAGGATTGAAGTGAAACAAATGAATGTCTGATTCTGGGGCTTTTCCATGGACTACACTGAAACATGACTCTCTTTTTGTTTTCCTTTTAAACCGTTTAAACAGTTTAGCAACAATATTTTTATGGAGAGACAAATGGAAGCTATGAAAAATAAAAATAAAACTTTGGTTTGAATTTCTCTGATCAGAAACACTTCATCTGATGCTTTTTCATGTCTCTGAATATATTTCCATTTGTGTGTAAGTTGTTTAATCGCAATGGCTGGAAGCAGTATTGTAAATTGTATCATACCCCAAACCCCCATCTTATGGTCCTATGCATTTACTTAGTGTTTGCATGAATGGGTCTTTAAGTAACTGGTGTACAATGCTGCATTATACCCCACAGTGGGGCTCTATGCAGGTCAGATAGGCTGTTGGTCTTTGATGCCTCGGCTTAGTTCTTAACATTGATTTCTCAGTGACTGTGATGGGGAAAAAAATAGATGTAACCCACAGTTCTACAGTTTGTGGGTTTCTTTTCCTTACATGCTTACCCGAAGGTTGTAATTCCTATCAGAATCATAGGATTTATGAGTTATAAAATTGTATACACATATATATATATATATACGCTGTATGTGCCAGAACATTCTGAACTATCTTGACGTCCAGCATCTGAAAGCCCAGCCCAGCTAACATAAATAAGTGTGCAGTCTTTGTGGTGACTGAAACTTCTTAACGTAGACCTCATACTTTTGCCCTTCAAACAACCACTCACCAATCCTCTTCCCTTTGTGCTGATTAAGACACATACTTTTCAACCCAAAAGGTTCCTGGTCATATACGAGGTATAAGTCCAAATACAAAAATGCTTAGGCTATTTGGGAATATAGAAACATTACAGTGTGACCCCGTATGGTAATTGTGGTAAGGCTTCATTTAAAACCTACAGGCTGAACTTCCTGTACCATCAACAGTCTGTTAATAATGCGCTCAGAGGCACCGAATGGCATTTACTTTATGCGCACATTTCCAGACTGCATTACAGCAGGTACTCTGGGGCAGTGAAATGAAACAGGGACAGCAATGTAACAGTCAGGATTGCAGGTTAAGTAGATTTTTTCAATATATATATATATATATATGTGAAAGTACATACATATATATGGTGCATAGAAATAAATTAAGGCATATAACATATTGCAGGGCATAAAACAAAAAAAGCAAATTCCTTTAATGATATTCACATTTTGGAGGTTTTGACAGCGCCGAAAGGATGTGTTTGTGTTTTCTGCCAGCACACCTGGCAGCGTGAGAATACGAGTGGGCCTCAACAAGCAGATGGAGCTCCAGTGACTATGTCAAGTGTTACTTCATTTTCTTCTAAATGTGAGCACAATACACTGACTATTCAATCACCTCCAGAATGTGATGACCACTCTGTGCTTTGACAAAATAGACTGTTGTCACAGTACGTGTGGGTTGTAAGAGAGCATTATTTCCCCAGCACAGCATGACTCTGGCTAAGCTACCACATAAAAGCCTGTTGGCTGTTTATACATCCTTTAATGTGCCTTTATAAGCAGCCAAAAAAACTAACCACTACTTTGTTTGTTCTTATCTCATTCCTCCTCCTCCTCCCCTTCAGTATTAAAATTGGAAGGGGAAGCAAGTCAAGATTCAATATAATACTATCAACCATTAAGTCGAATCACCGTTTGCTGCTCCAGAGTCAAGGGGGAAGAGGCTGGAGTGGATTGGCCATTGTGTTAATCGCTGAAAACAAGGGCACAGAGAATAGTCCCTCCCTGACACCATCAGTAGGGTTAATACCAATCTGTTCTCTCGGGTGGCTGCCGTCTTATCTCCACCAGCTGAGTCAGTCATAAGCTTTGAATTTTGCTGTATGTACGCTTTTATCCAAAGCAACGTACAATAAGTGCATTCAACCATAGGGTACAAACTCAGGAGAACAAGAAACAAGAAAGTGCAATTTCCTCAAATAAGCCAATTTACAATTTGCTATAGATGAGTGACGTTACAAGTACAATTTAAGTGCTACAATTTGTTAGTCTTTAGTCGAGGTAGAGTCTGAAGAGGTGTGTCTTTAGTTTGCGGCGGAAGATGTGAAGGCTCTCTGTGGTCCTGATGTCTTCAGAGAGCTCGTTCCACCATTTCGGCGCAAGGACAGCGAAGAGTGGAGATCTAGTCGAGTGTTTTGCTTTCAGTGAGGGAGGGACGAGTATGTTATTCGTTTGACAAAGCAGCTGCACATATTTGCTTTGTCTTTTGGAGCATGCCCAACGGTTTCCCAATTAAGCCAATGGGTTACTGATAAAGCTTCAGCTAAAGACATATTGCATCTTTTTCAGTGTCAGAGGCTCGTGCTGCTGTCCATATTGGCAGGGGCTTGGGGAGGTAAAAAAAAATTGGCTACGCTGCCACTATATGGCATCTCTCACTCGGATAGATAGGATCTGCAGAGAGAGAAAACCGAAAAGGGGGTTTGGATAAAGCTCTACAGCATCCATGAAGTTAAGGGTTTGTTGGGAACAAGTCCTTGAGCCTTAAGATCCATAACTGTTAATGAAGTTCCCATCAGTAAGAGGTGTTGGTCAGGTGGCGGGACAAAGCAATTAACACAGTTTCTTCACTGAATGATGCCCACAAAGGAATCTACGGTCCTGTTAGAAGTGAGAAACAACATCTAGAAACAAGTATGTAAAAGTAAAGAAAAATTACACGTGAAAATGTCTATTTTAGAGGCTGAAAAAGTTTGAACTGAAGCCTCGGAGCAATTTGCATGTTTTCAATTGAACTGGTACTTGGTTTGGGTCAAGGTCAAATATGACAGTTATATGACAGTTAAAAGTGTTAATCTCGAACACACTTCATAGACATACACATGCAAACCAGATTGCTCTTCCAATTGGCTTTATTCTCAGTTTTTTTCTTCTCACTTCTATATAATTGCCCAATTTATTTGTAGTGTTTGCAACTAAAACAGACATTTAAATCCAGTACACCGCTAAACAGTTTTTGCACCTAGTGCCACTGACTGGGCTCCCTTATCAGCTGAACACGGTTTGCGACGAATATGTGGAACCTACGGGCATCATTGTTAATGTACCCAAGCACAACTTGTGAATCTGTCCAGAAAAATTCTTCATCAATCCTTATGTCAAGTTCAGCTTTTAACATGACACTGACTTTTGCAGAAACCACAGCAGCCGTGAGTTCTAGCCTCGGGATGCTTGTGACGTTTGAGGGTGCAACCCTTGCTTTTGCCAACACAAGACTGCAATGGACTTCATCCATGTCATTTTTGTACCTGAGGTAAGAACATGCACCGTATCCTACGCAGCTGGCATCCGAAAAATGGTGCAACTCTACTCTAACAATGTTGTGGAAGCCATACGGGTGATAACATCTCGGAATTGAAACCTCTTTCAACTTGTGCAGACCATTTTTCCACTCCTCCAACCGTAGCATCATATCTTCTGAGAGCGGATCATCCCACCCGATGCCGATGTCTCGGTGGCACAGCTCTTGAAGTATACGCTTTCCTGTTAGGCTGAATGGAGCGATGAATCCAAGTGGGTCATACAGAGAGGCAATGACCGAAAGTCAACCACGCCGGGTTGAAGGCTGATCTTTCAAGCTGCTATTAAAGCTGAAAGTGTCAGTTTTAATTGCCCATTGAATGCCGAGTGCACGTTCTGACGGGGTTGGATCCAGTCCAAGTGGTTCGATGGTTGCTGCTCTTTCTGAGGGATTTAAGCAGGTGAGAGCTGTTTCCTCGTTTGAGTTGAATTTATGAAGGCGTAGGCCTCCTCTTTTGCACAACTCCTGTGACTCAGTGATAAGTTTCTTGGCTTCCTCGATTGATGGGACACTGACTAACCCGTCATCAACATGAAAGTTTTTCTCCACAAATGTTGATGCTAGCGGATAGGTGGCTTTGTGTTGCCGTGCCAGATGTTTCAAGCCAAAATTGGCACATCCTGGAGACGATGCAGCTCCGAAGAAATGAACAGTCATCCTGTATTCCTGTGGTTCCTTCTCCAAATCTCCACCTTTCCACCAGAGGAATTTGAGATAATTCCTGGCTTCAGGAGTGACAGAGAATTGATAAAACATTCTTTCGATGTCACAGATGATCGCTACGGCCTCCTTTCTGAACCGGCAAAGAACTCCTACCAGTGGATTGATAAGATCAGGCCCAGTTAGTAGAGTGTCGTTTAGAGAAACGCCATGGAATTTGGCTGAACAGTCGAATACGACTCTCAGTTTGTCTGGTTTTCTGGGGTGATAGACGCCGTGATGCGGAAGGTACCACTGTGGTGGAAGATTTTGCACAGACAATCGTTAAGTAAGAATCAAAGGCTCTGAGTCAAGTATGTCTTTTCTCCGTTTATTTCCTTGCAAGGGAAAACCAGTCACAACAGCTACATGGTCAGTAGACTGTCAAGAACCTCCTTCCTCCCCCAACACATCGAGGCAGTTCTTATACCTGAATTTAGATATCGGTGGCGTCAACAGAAACCGTTAACCATCTTGTTGAGTATCTACAGCCAGGGTACTGGGAACATCTTATCCATGTAAGACACGTCAGTTCTTTGACCGTGTCCCTGCTCTCCCAACATGCTTAAACAAAGGTGGTCATAGACATAACAAACACTTTGTTCAATCTCTACAGCTATGACGCTGGAAACATCTAATCCAAGTGGGAGACATCAGTTCTTATGTCAGGGCCTTTGTGATCTAAGCACTTGCAACTAATAAACTGGTTATACAAATGAAGCATTTAAAAGGGTCACATATCATTTTCCCATTACATTCCACTCTTTTGATTACATAATAATCACAAACTATGCAATCAATTTAGAATGCCTACTCTAAAAATTTACCATCCGATATCTACCACATCAAATATCACAAAACATGAACATCTGGACATCGCTCACAAAACTTTGCCTGCCACAGAACAAAAACTCCCTAAAAAACTCTCCGAAATGGGAAAATAGGAAGAAATCTGTTAGGAGAAGATAAAGACTGGAAACCTTCTCACAGGATTTGAGCGTTACACCCCAGATGTCATGTGTACAGTATTGAAATAAAAAAGGAATGAAAACATGTTTAAATCACAATACCAGAACTTGATTCCCTTTCACACAATACAGATATAGAATATTGTGGAAAGGTCATTAT